CATAAAAAAAATGTGAAAAAACTTCCTTAGGATTGAATTGCAACTCAGGAGAGTAGGGTTTGTCAAAAAAAGATGTCACTTTATAATTTTTTTAATTTTTTAAATTTAATCTTTATAGCATAAAAAAATTAAAACCTTTTTGAAGTTAATGTTCGAGAAAAAAGAAAAAGCAGGGAGAAAGCAATAAAGAATAGAATAAAATAGCTATGACAATGTTTACTATTTTAGTCTTAATTATTTATTGAATAAACATGTTGCAAGTTTTTTTAATCATGTTGCGGAGAATCTTTTTCTGAACAAGATGATATAATTTTCTGATAAAAATTTACTAGTTTTTTTTTGTAAATGATCAAATTTTTCTTCTGTAACATTTATTTTTTCTGCTGACGTTGAACTTTAAAATTCGATAATTCCGATAAAAAAAATATGAGTTGAAACTGAAAATGGTGAACTAATTTGGGGAAAATGAAATTCACCAAATGATCCCTTCGTAAATAGGGCTTTTATTAATTATGCCTAAACTGACTAATGAGTCTTTATAAATTCTTCTTTTAACTTTTAAATTGAATATTATCAAATCTAATCTAATATAAAATATGTCTCATAAAAACTTTAACCGAAAAATTAAAAAAAAAAAAGTACACCAAAGACCAAGTCATGCTTGCAGTGGCAAAAATAAATAGTAGCAAAATTTCACTCAACAATGCTGCTAAATCACTCCGTATACCAGTAGCAACATTTTATAGGCATGTCAAAGGTATAAGTAAAACAGTTGACTGTGGTTTAAATACAAGATTGTCTCAATATTTCAAACCAGTTCTGGTAGATGCAATCATCAAATTATCCGATTGAAGCTTCGTTTGAACACATAATCGCATTAACACTTTCGTTACAAACTATTTGCAACATCAAGGTAAATCTCATTGGTTTTCCAACAGTACACCAAGGAAAGACACAAGTTTTTCATCAACCTGTAGAGTCATAAGTTCACAATCACTAAGAGCCGCTTCTTGCACGCAAGAAATAATGGTAGAGTATTTCAACACACTGCAAAAAGATTTCAACGAAGCAGGTAATCACAAAAATACTTCATGTCATTTGTGGAATTTTAATAAAACTAACTTTTCTGGTGATTAAGGAAAGCAATACATAGTTTGCAGACTATATAGAAGTTTATTGTCACGTCAAATTAATTTGGCGCAAGTTACTTAAAGATTTTATGCAGAGACAAATTCAGCAATTTGTCAAAAGAATATTTTAGTAACCTGCAAGAAAAATATTTAGGCTTTGGTAAAGTTTTTCACGCGCTCAAATAATCACTGGATTTCAAAATAGTAGTATGTTTGTGTTCAACATCAAGACAACCAATCAATCTAAATTACAAATTGTTAATACGTTTGAAATACTTTCATTTCAACATAAGCTTTTGTCTTCTCAACCACAAAAGTCTTTGTCTACACCACCACTACCAGTACCAATAGTTTCACCATCTCAGCAAATGCCTTCTGAATCTACTCATTATATTGTATTACCCCAGCACCAAGTCAACTCCACAGTCTATTTGTCTGAAACTAATCTTCAATATAACTATAAAACAATTGCAATCCGCCTAATTAGATGCCATAGCTTTGCAGCAAATGTTTTGCATCCAAAACTATGAAACGTAAAATACGAAGAAGATTTGCCAAGATGCGAAAGGGAGACTCTCAACAAATATGAAACACTCAAAAGATTGAAAAATACTGACAGTAAAAAAGCAGCAAAGCAAGCTAGGAAACAACATAAGCATGACTTTCATTATGAGCAGATAATCAGATAAATCAATCAATAGCAGTGACTCCACCAACAACAAGCAGCAGCAAACCAAGTCGAGTGTAAAACTTGTCGTAATGCTGTGATCGAAGCTTCAGCAAGTCAAAAAATTGAATGTTTTCTGTGCGAATATTCAAAATGCAAGTTTTGATTTGTCAAACATGCATTTCTAAGAAATATATAAAAGGCATCAAGTTTTATTTCACCAAAAAGTGCAGCCCAATTGACACCTCAACTCACCTCCAGAACCTTTTAAACACTCAACATCACATAAATAAAAATATTTTCTTAACTAATGGCTAATTTTTATATTGCTATTATTCGTTTTGTTTTAATTGTTACGATTGCTTGTGTAGACTGTCTGTAACACGCTTGTATTGTGCTTCACAACTTATTAAATTTTTAAATACTTTATTATACATAAAACAATAATAGTAATAATTGTTACAGCACTAAATATTTTTATATTACTATAAAAAATATATAAAATATATTTTTATGGGGTATATTCTAAATAAACTAGATGATTTTTTTTTCAAACGAAAATAAAATAAAATTTCTATCAAACGAAAATATTTTTAGCTACAGAAAATATTTTTACTTGTTTTAGTTCTTTTTTTTTCCACATATTTTATTCAGTTTACTAATAGTAGACCCTGGGAATTTAATAAGACCAGACTATAGTAATGCAAAATAAAGTTTATTTGTTTTAACCCACCTCAAGGCAAGTTTTGCGACATGTTTAGGAAGGAGACATAAACTTCCTACTAAATGCACTTCAGCGATGCTCTGTGACTGATTAAAATTGGATTTTTTATATTACATGATCAAAGTATAGTGAGGAATCTTCAAAATATGGATATTAACTGTTTAAACCTTAAAAACGTAAAAAAAGGGGATCAGCTGCAAATTCGGCTAAACAACATGATTTTAAAGTTTATCTGAATAAAATATTCTGGGTTGGCATCCTTGAACTTAGAAATGCAATCAAAAATGACAAAAAAAGATGCGATGCAGACAAACTTGAGGACTCGGAGGTTCTGGAAAACCAGAGAAGGAAATGAAGTTTTACTCTTGGATTATAATATAAAAAGTACCTAAAAAAGTGTGTTTCATTTAAACGCCAAAGAAATTAGATTGCAAAACTTATTAACGTACTGTTTTCATAGCACTTAAAAAGATTCAAAATAAAAATATTTCAACAAAATATTAACAATGTTCATTCACTACTACTGATTCATATATTAAATAATTAATACATTAAACTAATTAGTAGTGAACTTTTATCATTTTTAGGCAACAGAGAATACCAGAAAGAGAATACTACCAGTAAAAAAAAGATTTAAAGAGTTAAAGGTTAAATCTTTTGTCAAGACTAACAAAGATACCAGCAAAGATTCCTCTTGCGATTCTGATTATGATCCTGGCGAGTGGTTTGAAAATGAATCTTTTTTAAAAAAGCTACTGCTGAAATACAGAGAGATATTTTTGACGGTAATGTAGCTTTTATGATTTAAGAGGGAGACACATCTTCTCGGATTACCTATCATTCTATGGTAAAGACCACACTAGTGGTGTAATGGACCTTCTAAACGAATCTAATTTTGAATCAAAAGTAGGAGGAATATGTTTTGATACAACTGCAAGTAACACTGAATTAAATAAAATTTTCTTAATCAGAATATCCAACATGAAGGACAAAGATAATTTACTTAATGCATGCAGGCATCTTCACGCAACAAATAAATCACATAGTGCATCGCATATATGTGATTGAATAATGGTTTATTTTTGAAATTCAGTCTCAAATGAGCATTTCACAGGGATAGATAAACATATGTTTAAAAAATTAAAAAAACTTTTTGAAAAATCTGATTTTAGTCACAATCAAACTAAATTATTAAGTTTGATTAGTAAGTAGTAAAGGAATCTTTAAGCACTGGAATCTTTAAAAATTTGTCTAGAATGCATTACAAAGGGAAAAGAAAACAAGATATTGTTAGAAAAGATAGGATGAAGCTTGCAGAGCTTGTTGCTAGTTACTTTTCTCCATCTTCTATAAAACTAAAAAAGCTCGGAACAGTATATCATGCTAGGTTCCTGTCCAATGCATTAAACTATCTAAAGCTACAGTTTTTTTCCAACCCACTTGAGATTGTAAACCTAAACAATACACTCAAAACAGAAAATAAGCTAATAAGTGAATATACAGTTTGCTTTTATGCCGAATGGTATTTACAGGCTAATGATGCAATAAGAACTCCATATCTTGATGTAAAAGCAATTGACCAGATTACTAAAAACTTTGTTTCGAATCTGATGCTCTGTGTACAGTTATAAAGTCCTCGTGCCCTTGTAGATAATAATGTGTCATTTATGGAGAGAGCAAATAATGCAAAAGTTGTTCTAACCTAAAAAATGGCAGTTTCAACCTGGTATATAACTATAAACAAACCAAAAATATACATTAAAGATGAAATAAAGATGGAAATAGAAACTAGTGAACACTCTTCTTCCCTTGCTCTTTTGATTGACAAGCTTTAATATCTTATGTTAGATAGAACTAGAGGAACAAAGAATTAAAGATTAGCTTGGAGTAAACAAAACGCATTGCTAACTGCTAAGAAAGTTCGATGTTCATTCAGAACATCTGAAAAATGTTCAAACACACTTTCTTAAAGTAACTTTATAGAAAACTTATTATCTTTTAAAAAAAAGAAGAAAAGAAAAAAAAGTACACATGACGCATTTTGCAAATCATTTATTGCTGTAATTTTTAAGTAATAATTAAATTTAATTTTATCTTGTTTTGTTTTACAAATATATCCATAAGTGTTATCACAAGTAGCATCACTCCAACCGTTAGAAGTTACATCAACGCAGACCTCAAGACTTTAATAGTTATCAGGTTGACCCTGGCTCCAACTATAAAATAGTAAAGTTTTATGATCAGACCAAACATAGGTTCGTTGAAGGTTATTGAGACCTTTAAAAATGTTAAAACATTGTTACAAAAAAAAAAGTAAAAGTCAGTTTTTTTTATTTGTTTTGACAACTTAAATTATTAAAAAACATATACCAATCAAGAAATGCAGGTCATTTATGCTAATATTTCTGAGGTGGTTTAAAATAAATAAATTTTCTTCTTGATCTGCAACGTTTAACAAATTTCCTTGCATTGTCTTACATACAACAAGAGACATTTTCCAGCTTAATCCATTTTGTGTTGCACTTCCACTAGCAAATAGGTAACAATAGTCTCCATACTCAAACAGATTGCTAGGGCAACCAAAAACTTCTAAAATAAAAAAAACTAACATAAAATTCCCCACAAACAGTTAAAAATGCAAACAGAACTTTATTTAAAGAAAATATAATTACCTAAATTTAAATGAATAACAATGTAATATTTATAAGATAAAACTTGTAACATATTTTGGGTATTATACTATATATATATACATATATATTTATATATATATATATATATATATATATATATATATATATATATATATATATATATATATATATATATATATATATATATATATATATAAATATATATATATATATATATATATATATATATATATATATATATATATATATATATATATATATATATATAAAATCAGTTTCAATTTTTTGTTTGATAAACATTCTTGGTTTGCATGTGTAATTATTTAAAAAATTTCTTGTAGGCATATTATAAATTTTTTTTTTAAATACTGTTATATGCAGGTGATGTTTTTAGAAGAGATAAGGTCAAAAAAAATTATCAATATTTTTATATTTTAATTTCATTATGTGTTTTCGCAGCAATGTGTCTTTTGAATACTTTTTATTTCTAAAGGATTGTTAATGGTTGGTAAAACGTTTTTTTATTAACGCTCTGTTAAACCAATTTATTACTTATCAGGTACATCAGTGCCGGATCAAATTTTTGAAGAAACCTATGACCTACAAGTTTGCTTTAAAAGTTTGGTTTATGATCTTTAAGTGTTACAAAAACATAAATAGGTTCAGTTGATTTAAAGTTTTTAAGAAATGCTTTATGCTTCTAAATTAATTGTTTTTTTTCAAATTTTTAGAAGCTTTCTTAAAAATTTAAGTAGTATTGTCGCATAAAATTTTTTCATAGTTTTCTGTTGTGAATGGTAAACAGTTGTTGGATATAATAATAATTCTATGCCGAAATGCATATTATGCCTACCAATATAAATTTGAAATAATTACCAAGAGTGTTAATTTAACAAAAAATTAGAAAAGCTTTTTAATTGGAGGCATGAAAAAACGTTTTTCCTAAAGTATTGAAAAAATAAGTAAGCTCAAAAAGCAATTATATTAAATCCCTCTTTATATATTACTTAAAAAAACAACAGAAATAAATAATTTTAATGAATTTATGTTTGTGTAAGCATATTCCACAAATGTGCAAAATTTTAGAATAAGACATTCAAGACTTACTGTTATTTAATTTTTAGTATAAACTAAATTTGCTTTAGCTTAAACATTTGTTTCTGATAAATCTTAATAGATGAATCACAGCGTAAAGTAAAAAAGGTTTTATAAGTTTTTTACAAACTTATCATTTCTCTATTGTCTTAAAAACTTTTTTTTTTGTAGAAAGCATTTAACATTATTCGTTTATATATATATATATATATATATATATATATATATATATATATATATATATATATATATATATATATATATATATATTATATATATATATATATATATATATATATATATATATATACTAGCTGAATTGACCCGTAAAAATACGGGTCTTTGTAAGTCTATTCCACACAAACCTTTTGCTTTATTTTCTTAATCTAGCTGTCCGTATCGGTAAATGCAGGTCTTTTCTTCTACTTCTATATTTATCAATTCCACGCCAATCATTTCTTTACTTGTTCTTTATTTACTTCAATATTTTTTAGTAAACTGTGGAAAAAAATTCATTAAAAAAATTTTCTTTAAGAGCAAAAAAAAACTTTAACATACGAACTTTTTCCGCATGCGTATATAGCTTATTAAACCCCGTTTATTTATTTTTTTTAAAAAAAATTCTGAACTAAACTACTTCCTACTTTTAGACCAGCCATGGACCATGGTTTATGGTCGCGTCCTAGCCATATTCAATAGTTCACTATATTTATTATTATTATATGCTTAGTTTTGAACAATAACGGTCTTTTATAGTTATCTTTGTATTAGACGGAAACGGTAATGCAATTCTTTAAAACGTTAGTCGCTTAAAGCGTCAAAAGTCATGCAAAAAAATAAATTATAAATTTTGTGGTTTAAAAGTTGAAAAACTAATAATATTATAACAAAATATTCGGTAATTTTTAAACGTTATTATTTAGCTCTTACTTATGGTATTTATTTTGTTTTCATTTTACATTTTTAAAAAAATGTTGAAGCACCTAACTACATGCATAACTTTGATAGCTCACAAGTTAAGTGCGCAGTCATCAGAGTCGCTGTGCAAGGCTTCAAATCCGCGCCTAAAAAATCTCAATACATTTTTTTAAATTTTTTTAATCTGGCTATATTTATAGCAAAAATTTAAATATAACAAAAAACCTTTTAATTGCTTTTTTTTTCCCTGCCTCCACTGCAATACCATGTGGAGTAGCACGACGGTTTTATCAAATTTTTTCCTTATTAGGTTTTAGGACCTTTTTTTTTAAGACTATCCGTAGCTTATTAGGACCAATTATGCGAGAACAGTATCAAAATCGTGACACACACGCAAAAAAATTTCGCCACGTTTATTGGTGTTTTAAGAAATCCAAAAAATTTATAAAATTAAAAAAAAAAAACGGTTAAAGTGTATAACATTTAACTTGTTTAACTTCACAAATATTTTGTAATTTAAAGAAAAAAATCGCTGGCGGTAAATTTGAACCACGACTATTACGTTCAGAGGCTTAGCGCGCTAATCACTCGGCCATGCTGACAAATATCGAAATTTTAAAAAAATATAAAAATTGTTTTTAACGGAATTGCTGTAGATCAAAAAATTAGGAGAGGTTGACGCAATGCAATTTTTAAGTCAAAGTCAAAGTATAAAACTTGAAAAATGTTTCAGTATGTTTTATCATTACTTAATTACGCACGTTAGATATTTGCATACACGTTTTCTTCTAAAAAAAAGTGTTGCGACTCTTTCTACTAACACTACTATTAAGTTTGGCATTATTATATAGAAGATAGATAGATTATAAAATAGTTTTTCACTTAAAAGGACAAACTCTATTCCACATTAACCTTATCTTTATTTCTCACTCTAATATTTTTTAGTGAACAATAGATTATGTGCTAGAAAAAAAAAAAAAAAATTCACATATGCACCTTTTCCGTATATTTATATTTAGAGCTTAACATGAAGAAGGTAAATCATTTAGTTCAAGACAACCTGCCCAAACCCAAATCCTCTGTTGATTTATGCACACTCACTGTCGCTAGGCGTGTAAAATAAGTAGCTAGGCAAGTCAAATAAATTAACTTGATCTGTTTTTCTGCATAAAACAAAAACAGAAAATATGAAGTACTTGATATAAGGCACTTTAATATTGGATTTAGTTAATTCAATACAAAGTGATAGGAAACTGCAAAATAAGGTAGCAACGTGAAAATTATTCAAATACTAATTTACAACAATTTGTATTGCGTTTTATTAAAATAGCTTTATTAAATAGTATGAAGATTGATGATTCTTCTTCTTCGCCTTTAGAAAATGATTAACGATTTGAAAGACTTTTAAATTGATTATAAAAGCATTATCTAAAAATGAAATAAAATCATTATTAATAACACTGAACGCACATTTATTTGTTTTATGTTAATTCATTTGAAAAATAAAAAATACGAAACGAAATTTAGTAATATTAAATAAATATTAGACACTTACTTTGTGAGGGTGCTTTTGTAAAAGTCTCTAATATTTGGTTGGAAAGCTGGAAATACTCTTTTTTTTAGAAAATTCAGTTTTATCAGCATTGCTAAAGATAAAAATTCCTACTGACACAAAAAAATATATAAAGTAACATATTTTAAAAATTTATGTAAATGATAACAAATATGAAAAAAGTAATGTTTAAGTTTCAATACACATAAAACCCATAAAACTGCATAAGTATGCAAACTACATTACCTGATGGTACTGCAGATGATATTGATGCTATTGTAAAAGTAAAAAAAAAAAAAAGTGTATAAAGTAACATATGTTATACATTTATGAAATTGTTTACAAACATGAAAAAAGTAATGTTTAAGTTCAATACACATAAAACCCATAAAACTGCTTAAGTATGCAAAACACATTACCTGATGGTACTGTAGATGATATTGATGCTATTGTTAAAGTAAAAAAAAAAAAGTGTATAAAGTAACATATGTTATACATTTATGTAATTGTTTACAAACATGAAAAAAGTAATGTTTAAGTTCCAATACACATAACACTCATAAAACTGCATAAGTATGCAAAACACATTACCTGATGGTACTGCATATGATGACATTGGTGCTATTGTAAAGGTAAAAAAAAATGTGTATAAAGTAACATATGTTAAACATTTATGTAATTGCATGAAAACAGTAATGATTAAGTTTAAATACACATAAAACCCATAAAACTGCATAAGTATGCTAAACAGATTACCTGATATTATTGCTTGAGGTGCTAATGTAGAGACAAAAAAATAAATAAATAAAGTAATCTGTAAATTAAGATATGCTATCTTTAAGTTTTAACACACATAACACTCTTAAAACTGCATAAGAATGCAAAACACATTACCTGATGGTACTGCAGATGACGCTATAGTGGAGGTAAAAAATATATTTACATAAACTAACATATACTAATCAATTAAGCAGTTTATTTTAGAGTGATAAAACCGCACACAAACATCAAAAAATGTGTGTTAAAATTAAACAAAAAGAAACATAAGTGTACTTTCCTTACCAATTGAATTTTCTAAATTTTCTAAATAGAATAAAAAAAACTCATTAACATTAGGAAAGAAACTAACATGCAGAATATTTGTCAACTTTAGGAAATCTATAAATAAAGTTGGAACAAAACAAAAGGCAAAAATAACAATCACAAAACAAAACAAACCAAAAAAGAAAAAAGCGACAAAAAAAATAAAAAATAAAAGTAAAGAAACAATTCACAAGAACAATATAGTAACTTACTAAGTTGTTGAAATATAAGCCCTATAAAAAAAATGCTAAAAATTGTATCAAAAAAGCTAAAAGACCATAGAATAC